TCCAGGCCTGCAGTTCCCACCCTTGCTCTATACAGACAAAAACAACATTTGTGATAGAGCTTAACTTTGTGGCCTCAGAGCCTCCTCTTCTTCTTCGTCTTCAGAGAAGTGAGAGAGATAATAGTGGGAACACTGATGTAAAATAAACATCAGGGGAGCAGTTTTATTTTGATCTGACTCCAATATTTTAACTTGTGTAACAACTGATAGAGCATTGACCAGTCAAGGCTGATTCACTATTCTTTGGTTTAATCCCTTTTTTCTCTGCTCAGTCACAGAATCTGAACGTGTGTGAAAACAAGAAACACTTCCTGTCTCAATTTTAATCCGGTCATTTCCGTGGGAACTGATGTTCTCTATCATTGAAAATAATTGACTCTGTAAATCTGGCAAAATAAACAGAAACATTCCTGCACAAACACACTTCCTGTTGCTGTTCTTTTATTAAGCCACTCAAATGGGACAAACAGTCCAATCCAACAAGGAGCAGCCCTCGAAGAAAAGACAGGGCACATCAGATACGTTCTTCTGAAAGAAGCCAACTGCCACATTCATTATAATTACCAGTGCTTCCATGAGGAGAAACTGCTCACACTGTAATAAACAACACCTGCAAACTTCAGTATAAAAATGCGATTGATTTCAGAGACTGATCAAAGTTTATTATTGATATTTAAAACTTCATCATAGGTTTACAGTGGCAAGGAAGATGAGAGCAGCTTCAGAACAGTCAGCTTGATGAAGATGAGGGTCTGGTAATAATGATGAAGATGAGGGTCAGGTCCTGGGACTGCGCTGCACCCTTTGGCGGTACTCTGGTAGGTGACGGAGGATCCACGCCGCAGGAGCTAGCATGGCCGCTGCAAACACCGACATGACGAAGAAACTTTGCTGTCAGAAAAAAAACAAGTGTCACTATTTTATGATTACTGGATGGTTATTGGCTGATATTGATCTGTTAGTGTTTCATGATAAGTTAGTGGCCTTTGACTAGTTAGTGAGTAATTCGATACAGAGACTTACCGCAGCTCCAATCCTGTTTCGAGGAGGTTTACTGTAGATTGCCCTTTTCATCTCCTTCACTACATGATTTTGACGAGTCAGAGCTGAAGAATTTCCCGTCATCCTAAACGCACGGCTCACCGTCATCACGGTAACAACACCTGACCACCAAGTGGCATGTGAAGCTGTGCAATTGGTTGTTGTTCAGCTCCCGTTCAGTCGCTCGACGTGCTCGGTGAAAGACGCTCATCGAGACTGAGGCTGAAATCTTCAGGAGAAAGCAGAGGAGGAGGAGGAGGAGCAGAGGGGAGGTCTGCCTGATGGAGCTGCAGATTAGATTTCCTGCGAAGAAAAAGAAGAGGAGTGATGAAGGATAAAAGGTAGATGTTTGGTTTGATGTGCAGAAACAGACCTGCAGGCTTGAACCTGCTCAGCATCAATTAAGTTTTGTCTCACTAAGAAGCTGGAGCAGCTCGATTCACTTTGTCACAATACTGTTTTTTAATCCTTTCTTTTATTGAATTTCACGTTACAGATTACTTTACCTGTTGTAGTTTGTTACTCTTTACAGTAGTCAGATTACAGACTGTATAAAACATAACAACTAGTTTGTTTTGTCTCATTAAAGCTTTCCTTCACTCCCAATACAAACAAAGAGATTTGATTTGAAATAACATCTGCAGTCCATCACTAACGTCTCTGTCAGTAATCAAACTCTGCTGCTTCTCTTTCCTACTACTTTAGAGTTACACAGTGTGTTCTGCTGCTCAGCTCGTATCAGGACACAATTTCAATTCCTTCAGGTTAAATATTTTATTTGCTCCACAGATAAACTCAGAAAACATCTGAATATTATTAATGATCATTTTACCAGAACAAGTTTACTTTCCTCCAGGTTTTCATTGATCTTTCTTTTGTAGTTTGACTGTTTTTCATTAATTTTCTTCACTTTTATTTTCTGCATCTTCAGAAACATGTTCCGGTTCACTCTCTGCATCTGCAGATGTTTTATTTGGATCTCCATAAGCTGAATCTTTTCATGTCCTCTTGTCTCTGGGTTCAGGTTACCAGCCCGGACTTTTGGAAAAGGACAGAGTTTAGAGACCTGCTCAAGTGGCAGAGCAGGTCAGCCACTAATCAGAAGGTCGGTGGTTCGATCCCAGGCTGCCTCCTGGCTGCATGCCAAATATCCTTGGGCAAGATACTAACCCCATGTTTGCCTACTGGTGGTGGTCAGAGGGCTCTGTGCGGCCTCGCCTCTGTCAGTGCGCCCCAGGGCAGCCGTGGCTACAATGTAGCTGCCATCGCCAATGTGTGTGTGAATGGGTGGATGACTGAATGTAGTGTGAAGCGCTTTGGGGTCCTTAGGGACTATAAAAGCGCTATACAAATGCAGGCCATTTACCTGAAAGTTTTGGACAACTTATTTAAAGGACTCTTTATATCCTGGTCACTAAAGCGGACACATGACAGTTTATGTGTTTAATGTCCTGAATTAAAAAAAGATGGAAGTGAAAGATTTTTGTTTTTTATGAAATGCTGATCATAAATTCATGGATAAATCACATTTTTAAAGATATATTAAAGATAAAATAAGTTCTCTCAATCAGACGTTAGAAAGGTAATAATGAATTAATGGGTTACTAATTCGTTTTCTCTAGTCCCAGTCGCACCAGGAGTGACATGTTTACCTACATGCTCTCCATAATTCGCTGTCTGTCTGAGTGGTGTCCAAAAAATGATGTGGTCCTTAATTCGGAAATTTGGATAATTCAGAAACCTTCTGTGGAAACACTGGTCTTCTTGGGAGAGAAAAGACTGTGTTTCCTTCCAAACCACCAAAATAAAAGACAATGAGAAGCTCACAAGGCCACATTGTTGCTTCTGTGGAGGAGCAGCAGTAGTAATCTTCCATTCCACCTCATTACTCTACACTCGTTGTTATCCATCAATCACCTTACTCAATTTCATTATCTAGATCATAGGTGTCAAACTCTGGCCCGCGGGCCAAATTTGGCCCGCAGCCTAATTACATTTGGCCCGCGAAGCCATACCAAATATTATATTATACAGCTAATGTATATATTGTTTAGTATTAAGCTTTGCTTGTTCCATATTCAGTTTTTCAGCAAAACGTGTTTGAGTCCATAAGAAAAGATTCATTCTTATATCTGGAGGAATAAATATATTTCAATAAATATTAACGTTAGCCCGCGACTTTGTTCCAGTTTTGAATTTTGACGACCCACTGTGTATTTGAGTTTCACACCCCTGATCTAGATACTAAAATGATTAGTCTCAAAGCTGACTTTTCTCTGAAAATGTAAAAGCCACCACTTTCATCACAGTCTGGATCTTGTTCTGACGTACAGCATAGAAACTGAACATTTATTCAAGTTCCCTGCGTACCCTCGTCGATCTGCACGGCCCACGACCCCTGTACAGGAAGTCTGTCCTGCCTCTCTGATTGAAAGTCCTAACCTCCGGTCCCATGACATCTGCCCAGAGTTCAGATGGAACCAGTGTGGGTGAGCATCCTACCTCCAAATGGTCCAGCTGTTTTCTTCACTAACACTGAGACAATAAGCAGACCTGAGTAGCCTTGAAGGTCAAACCCTATCAGTCCCACCTGTTGATGGTAGATCAGTCCCTCTAGAGTCTCTGTTGTAAAATTCAGTTCAATTCGCTTCAGTTTTATTTATACAGCGCCAAATCACAACAATAGTGGCAACAATCATATGCCCTATGAGTAAAACCCTCCGGCAGAGTCAGGCTCAGGGAGGGGCGGTTGAGCTAATTTCAGTACATGATGTGATACATCAAATATGATGCTGTATAAAGCTATGTTTGGAGTCCTGTTGGGACCCCGAAAAACAGAACCACAGGCCTACATCTACGTACAAACGCATATTAAAATATTAATTCAAAAATTAAAACGTGTGATCAGTCTTGACATGGTTAATGGTCAATATTCAAATGAAGTTAGTGTTGTCATGGCAGCCGGTTACATTCAGACGTTCTCACAGATGCTGAAAGTGCTGCTGCGCCAGCATCGGTTCATCTTTGATCAGAGATGGTCAACATCACACATTTACGTGTTAATGTATGAAACTCATTATTAAAAACTTATTCGTGCCCCATCTTTACATCACGTCGGCCACATGACAAAACTCATTTTTCACTGACATTTGTTTTCTTGCTAGCTGATCTCAGAACAATGAAAGCAGACCAGCAGCAGCGCTCTCTCATCAGTTTACCGTCAGACCAGAGGTTTGTCCAGAATGTGCATGAGCAAAACACTGAGCATACCAGGATACAGCCAATGTTAACGGGAGACAGACATGCCCTCGACAAAGAGACAAAGCTGCAAAAGTTCCTCCGGTCTCCTGATCCTGCATCATCGAGATCAGGGAAAAGTGGGTAGGAGAAGGTCTTAGGAAAAGAGAAAAGCCCTTACCTTTGTGGCATCCAGTGCCACGCTGGATGTCTGCCATGTTGAAACCAGTTGATGGACTACAAAGCACACATCTGATTTCGCTAGGTGTTCTGACCCCATTGTTTTATGGTGGTCATAGAAACAAGATCAGTCTCCTTCTTTACAAAGGTCAGATTTACTGATGTCTGCAGCAGCTGAAAGCATTTCTCCATCATCAGTTATCCCAGCAGATTTGTACTGAAGGGAAAAACTAATTCTAAAGACTGCAATACCGCAAAAGGCATTACTATTCACTGAGCCTTAATGTGGAGCTCATGCAGCAACCGTTCAACAGGAAGTAGCAGTCCAGCTGTGAGTTTAACCGGCCGTTTTTGACTACTTTTGATTTTACTTTATATTTCAACTTTAAAAACGGTTTATCTTGCCTTGTTTGGTATCATTATTTTCAGCACAACCTCAAATATCTGAAATTGGAGTTATTTTTTCATTTTGACATACTGTATTTGCACAATTAATCTAAATTCAGACAAAAAATCTAAAATCCGAGTAGAAAAAAGTTATGTTTTACTGTAAAAACCTCAAACATGTTTAATGAATCATTTTCATAACTTGAAATGCAATTAGAAATTGTATATTTCTAAAAAAGTATGTACAAGATTTGCAAACTACAAAGTCATATGGTACTATTCACCAAAAAATGCAGCCAAGGCTTCAGGCGTGTTTTATATAACCATTTAAATCTATTTACAGAACAAGTTGATTGGTTGACATGGAAAACTTTAACAAAAATTAGGGGTGTTTTTTCTTTTTCTTTTTTCAATTGCAAACGGAGAGTGTTTGCTAGCGTTGTCCTTAGAAAACGCCGTTTCTTCCCGCTGTAAACACCGCTCTTTTGTTCAGAAAAACCATTGCGTGTATTTTTTTATCATAACTCTGGTTTTGTGGCCCATCGACACAATTTAAAAACCTGGTATATAGTTTGAAGTCTGCACTTTCGACCTAAGTGGAAATGGAGACTCTGGGTCGCTGCATCTTGTTGTTGTGTTGTCTTAAATTGGTCATGTGACCAATGATGAACAACCTTTTTGGGCTAATAACCTTAGGAGAACATGTCGATAAGGTTGAATCTTTATTGAAACTGTTCTCTCTGTCATTGCTCATGAAACTGAGCAGAAGTGTTTATAATTTACACAGTTTATAAATTTATGCTTCAAACTGAAAAGACAAACACGCCAGGTTACAAATCACACATGTAGCCAGAGGGAGGTCACATGACAACATGTGAATCACATGACCGCTCGGTTTATCTTACACTTGGGTTCACGTGCATCAACTCGATGCAGGAAAAAAGGCTCCTAGCAAACACAGCCAAAGTCAGTTCAAAGTTTGTGAGAAAACAAAAGGTTAAAGGGCTGTCCAGATGTTAGGAGCAGCTGATGGAGTCCAGATGTTGCTCCTCAGCAGCCATGGCAGCAGCCTGCAGTGTCTCAGTGTCACTCTGCAAAGGATTCAGCTGCTTCCTCTCACTGTGCATGTTGTTCTCATGACGCTTCAGATCTGACGCCTGAAATGACAGAAGGACAGTGAACGCACCACAACACAAACGTTCCGGCACTACGGACACTGTGTAATACTACAGCATAATATTACACATACTTAGTGGAGTACTGTATATACTCTGTTATAGTACTTGTGTTGACATGCAGATGTTGATGTAATGATAAGGCTGACCAGCAGGGGGCACTGCATTTAAGAAAGCTGATGAATGGCAACAGTGAGGCACCTAAAAGAAGACTGGTCTGTGGTGTTGCATAATAATGTTTGGCGAGGAAGCTCACAATGCAAAAGAGGATGCTGTGTTATTTTTAACTAGGAAGACCACACAGTACTGTGTATATACTGATTGCAGTACTGTATATATGGTATAATATGTACTAGAGATGGACCGATCTGATATTACGTATCGGTATCGGTCCAATACTGACGTAAATTACTGGATCAGATATCGGAGAGAAATAAAAAATGTAATCCGATCCATTAAATATCAAAAAAGCACCTCACAAAACTTGCGACACGGCGTAACTCGGTTCATAACGTCGCAGCAGTGTGGTCACCTGATAGAGCGGCTGTGTGTATTTGTAGCCTCGCTACCAAACCAGCATTTCATCTCCGAGGAAGTGATCCCAGAGAGAAGTAAAGCAAGTGTGTAAGTTCATCTCTGAGTGTTTGTAAAGCATTCCAGCGTTACGCTTAACAACCGATATATGTTTTAGAGCCCTATTAGTTTGGTTGCTTACTCTTTAAAATACCAGAATAGGAGGATGGAGCAGGTTTAAGTTTATTAGATTGATCAGTTTTGCTGAACTATGAAATATTTTGGGTGCAGTGTATTTTTTACATACAGGTATAACAGAATAGCTTTAGTGTTGTTGTTTATTTAAACTTGAGTATGAACTTATACAAAAAGCAGCAAGATATTAAAAAAAGAGTTTTATTGATTAAAAAACACTATATTGGATTCATATCGGTATCGGCCGATATCCAAATTTATGATATCGGTGTCGGACATTAAAAGTGGTATCGTGCCATCTCTAGTCTATATACTGTGTGTAGTACTGTCTATATATACCATATGTAGTACTCAGTACACTGAGTGCAGTACCTTGGCGAAGGCCTTGGTGCAGGACGGACAGACGAACGGTTTCTCTCCTCTGTGTCTCCTCTCGTGATCCTTCAGGTGAGACTTGTGTTTAAAAGCCTGCAGGCACACAGGTGAGAGCCAGACTGGTTACAATGGTGACAGGAAAGATGGGCGCACAGGTGAGAGGACAGGTGAGTTCACCTTTTCGCACATCTGGCAGGCGAAGGGCCGCTCGTTGCTGTGAACTCGTTCGTGTTTCTTCAGGTCCGGAGCGCGAATGAACGATTTCCCACACACGTCACACCTGTAGGGTTTGAAACCTGCGTGGATCTTCAGGTGTTCTGAACAGACAGGTGAGGGTTAGGGTGACCTCAGGGAGCATAGAAGTAAGAAGCAAGTAAACGTACGTGGGTGTGGTTACCTTTCAGGTGAGCGTGGGTGGTGAAAGCTTTGGTGCAAATGTCACAGGCGAACGGACGCTCGGCCGAGTGAAGCTTCTCGTGCTTCCTGAGCAGAGACAGACAGATGTGTCCTTCGCCTGTGGCTTCAAGATCCATTTTCATCATTGAGGTGTGTACTTACCTGAGTCTGCTCTCATCCAAGAAAGTCTTCCCACACACCTGGCAGGCGAGCTGCTCGCGGTGTCCGTACAGCAGGTATTCGAACTTCATGTCGGCAGTCGCCGTTGACCAGCCTGGCGGCTGCTCGTCCTTCACTTCCCCTATGCTGTCCGCGAAGGTCAGCGTCTGTGTGGCGTGATGCTCCGCTCCAAGCTCTTTAGGCTCCGCCTCCATCTCCGTCACCACATCCTGGTTGTAGCAGGTTACCTGGATGGATGATGTGTCAGTGACAGTCGTCGTGGATACAGGAATACTCAGGTGTAAGTATGCGTACCTTGTGCACATCCTCATTGGTCAGTTCCTTTAGGATCGCCTCTTGCACATGCATCGCTGTACTGGGAGACTTCTCCAGCTCCGGATTGGCCGAGGGCTCCACAAGGTCATCTGTGGCGGACGTGTCATCGTCAAGCACCTACACACAACAGTAATCAGATTACAAAGTACAGGCTCTGACAGTTAACTGGTAAACAATGGGTTAATCCGTACCTCCGAGTCGGCGGCCAGCTGAGCCTCAGGCGGCAGCGCCATCTTTACGATGTCATAGGGAAACTTCTCCTTGTCCTCAGACGACACATCTCGCTTCTGAGGACACACCCACCAACACCTGTTACCTGTGTGTGTCACCAGCTTGTGTGTTACATGCATTTTATGCTACCTGCATGTGCATTACCTGTGTACACGCTTCACTTGTATGTGGATTACCTGTCTGTGTGTCGCCCGTGTGTGTTACCTGAGAGCAGAGTTTGTCAAGGAAGCGGATGCCGAGGATCTGGCCTGATGACATCATCAGGTTGACGTCCTTCTTCTTCACAGAGATCTTTGCCGTGTACATGTAGTTCAGGACTTCCTCAAAGATGTCAGAGCGGATGAAGTCAATCTCAATCACTGATGAGTTGTCCACCTGAGAAGACACACACGTACAGGTGAGACATCTCACCAGAACACACTCGGGAACCCCTGGAGGCCACGAAGTGAACTGCAGTCACCATACATATACACATACATGTATGATGTATGTGTATACAGGGAGTGCAGAATTATTAGGCAAGTTGTATTTTTGAGGAATAATTTTATTATTGAACAACAACCATGTTCTCAATGAACCCAAAAAACTCGATCACTGATTGAAGAAAATAAGAACAACCCCAGGTTTCTCTTCAGCTCTGTAGCCAGGCTGACAAACAGTCAGAGCTCTGTTGAGCCAACCATCCCTTTAACCCCATTCCTACAAAACTGCTCAAAGAAGTCCTGCCATTAATTAATTCTTCGATCTTAAATATGATCAACCTATCTCTAATGATCGGCTATGTACCACAGGCCTTCAAGCTGGCTGTAGTTAAACCTTTACTCAAAAAGCATCTCTAGACCCAGCAGTCTTAGCTAATTATAGGCCAATCTCCAACCTTCCTTTCATATCAAACATCCTTGAAAGAGTAGTTGTCAAACAGCTAACAGATCATCTGCAGAGGTTATTTGAAGAGTTTCAGTCAGGTTTCAGAGCTCATCACAGCACAGAAACAGCTTTAGTGAAGGTTACAAATGATCTTCTTATGGCCTCTGACAGTGGACTCATCTCTGTGCTTGTCCTGCTAGACCTCAGTGCAGCGTTCGATACTGTCGACCATAATATCCTATTAGAGCGATTAGAACATGCTGTAGGTATTACAGGTACTGTGCTGCAGTGGTTTGTATCATATCTATCTAATAGACTCCAGTTTGTTCATGTAAATGGAGAGTCCTCTTCACACACTTTAACAGCTGTGTGCTGTGTCCCAGTTCAGGGTATAATGGTTACACACACACAAACACACAGTAACACAGTATATATATATATCCATCCATCCATCCATCTTCATCCGCTTTATCTGAGGCCGGGTCGCGGGGGCAGCAGCCTAAGCAAAGAGGCCCAGACCTCCCTCTCCCCAGCCACCTCCTCCAGCTTATCCGGGGGAACACCAAGGCGTTCCCAGGCCAGCCGAGAGATATAATCTCTCCAGCGTGTCCTGGGTCTGCCCCGGGGCCTCCTCCCGGTGGGACATGCCTGGAACACCTCACCCAGGAGGCGCCCAGGGGGCATCCTTGTCAGATGCCCGAACCACCTCAGCTGGCTCCTTTCGATGTGGAGCAGCAGCTGCTCTACTCTGAGCCCCTCCCGGATGGCCGAACTTCTCACCCTATCTCTAAGGGAGAGGCCACTCCCTCTTCACCACGACGGACCGTGCAGCGTCTGCATTACTGCAGCTGCAGCCCCAATCCGTCTGTCGATCTCCGGCTCCCTTCTCCCATCACTCGCGAACAAGACCCCGAGATACTTGAACTCCTCCACTTGGGGCAGGAACTCATCCCCGACCCGGAGTGGGCACTCCACCCTTTTCCGGCTGAGAACCATGGCCTCAGATTTGGAGGTGCTGATCCTCATTCCCGCTGCTTCACACTCGGCTGCGAACCGTTCCAGTGCGAGCTGGAGGCCCTCACCCGATGAAGCCAACAGAACCACATCATCCGCAAAAAGCAGAGATGAGATTCTGAGGCCACCAAAGCGAAAGCCCTCCGCCACTTGGCTGCGCCTAGAAATCCTGTCCATAAAAATTATGAACAGAACCGGAGACAAAGGGCAGCCCTGGCAGCCCATCACCCACCGGGAACGAGTCCGACTTATTGCCGGCAATGCGAACCAAGCTCTTGCAACGGTTGTATAGGGATCGAATGGCCCGTAGCAATGGGCCAGACACCCCATACTCCCGCAACACCTCCCACAGGACACCCCGAGGGACACGGTCGAATGCCTTCTCCAAGTCCACAAAACACATGTAGACTGGTTGGGCAAACTCCCATGCACCCTCAAGTATCCTCGAGAGGATAAAGAGCTGGTCCAGTGTTCCGCGACCAGGACGAAAACTGCATTGTTCCTCCTGTATCCGAGGTTCGACTAGCGGACGAACTCTCCTTTCCAGCACCCTGGCATAGACTTTCCCAGGGAGGCTGAGGAGTGTGATCCCCCTGTAGTTGGAACACACCCTCCGGTCCCCCTTCTTAAAGATATATATATATCTCTCTC